TTTCGCGTATTCGCCCCAAACCGAATCGTGTAAATTTCGTTCATCGTTTCGTTGTCACATAAATCCTAAGCTCTAGACCCTTAAACCCTAAACCCCTAAACCGCGTGCTGTGGAGTCCTTGGAGATAGACCACCTGCCTCGGGGTAAATCCTCCAGGCTTCAATTTGAGCGATTGGGTGTGGCTAAACCCTACAAATCCTAGCCCCGAATCCCTAAACCCTAAATCATAAACTCTAAACCTTAATCCCTAAACCCTAAACCTCAATCCTAAACCTTAATCTGTAAACCCTAAACCCGAATCATTGACGGAGTCTTCAGTAGCGACTGGTCAGGAGGATGTCCGCAACTCGATGCCAGGACCTCTAAGCTTACAAGTGGTTAGTGGGGAAGAAGGGAGAATACTCTCTAAATACTATAGATTCAGGGTTTAGATTTTCGGGGTTGTTTTTACTAGTGGTTAGCAGGGAATAAGGGAAAATACTCGCTACATGCTATAGCTATAGGGTTTAGGGGCTTGGGTTTTAGGCTTTAGTGGTTGTTTTAGGGTTCGGAGTCTAGGGTTTAGGGGCATTATATGGGGCACAGGAGGCTCATGGACGTTCTTGAGTTGTTCTCAGTTCTCGGTGCGACTTCTTATGCGATTTCACAGTAGTGATGCAGTAGCGATCTTTCTTGCAAGATCCTATCCTGCAGTATACGCGGTACGAATCCCTCCCGATTCTTCGTCACAATGCCTAATTCTTCGCTGCATGCAAGCTCGGGTATGTTCACTATATAGTAGTTCCTCCAGGGGGACCCCAATATAGACCCCAACTTTAATTTAATCTTTATTCTGGGGACCCCCAAAATGGTACCCCTAATTTTAGGAACCCCCTAAAGCGGGGAGCTGGGATCCCCCCCGCTAACCGCTTATATAGCCGTCTTGTTTTGGGACTCCTTACACCAAGCATGAAGATGGAAAGCGGAGCAGCCTGAATCGCAGCCTGTCCACCCCGTGTCTCACGCTGCACCAAAGGTTTAGGGTTTTGGGTTTTTAGGGTTTAGGGGTTTTAGGGTTTAGGGTTTGTAGGGTTTAGGGTTTTAGCCTAAACCCTAAACCCTAAAGTTTCAGGGTTTAGGGTTTGAGCCTCCAGCCGATGTACTGGCTCTCACCCCACTTCACATTGCCAAGATGCTCAGCGTGCGTGCTCATCATTCTCGATCCCGTGCTGGTAGAAAAATGTCAATGATCCATGGCAATATAATGACGATGAGCTCAACACGAGTATGCTGTGGACAGTAACATGGGCAAAGTTCAAAACACCATCTTCTGGTCTCAACGAAGCATCACCTTCATCTGGAGTGGCCGAAGGTCTACGGGTATGTTCTTCCAGTGTACAAGTAGCATCCAGTGGGTCGCTCTCAACATTTCGTGCCGTCTGAAGATTACGTTGATTGCACACCTATTTGGAGGGTTCGGGGACTTGGTGTACTTATAACTTATACCCTATGAGCCATACAACATCCAAAGCTATACCCAGTACGGACCTACTTTTTAAGCTCCCCACGCCAGGAACCCTGGACTGAATCCTAAATAAGATAGTACTTTGCAGCTTCCTTTCCACTTGTTACGTCCTTTCTGAGACTAAGACCCCCCAAGTGCTACATACTGTATCGGGACTTGTCAGTCCTACCCGGCGTAGCCCACACAGATCTGCCAGCACCAGCCATACAAACTGTGCGTCAGCTTTGGAAATTATACCCTAAGGATCCAAGTAGACAAATGATCCCTAAACCCGAAACCCTAACATCTATAGATGTTAACTATACTCCGCTTGAATAGGGGGCTGCTGCCTCAGGCACTGACACCAGGAAGAAAATCCCACCACTCATTGCGCCATAACCTAAACTCCTAGTATCCACCTTCTTAACCCTCATAATGCTCCCCTATAACATAGGGTTTAGGCTTGAGGGTTTAGGGTTTAGAGTCTAAACTCCTAGTATCCCCCTTGATAACTTCTACAATACTCCCCCTCAATTCACTGACCCCACAGGAGGACCCCAATATAGCTTCTGGCCAGCTGATATATGGCTTATAGTCCAACATCCCTGAAGGGTGTTATACGGGGGGATTATATAGGGGAGTTAAACCCTAAACCCTAAACCCTAAACCAGGAGGTTATTAGGAGGTTAGACTACAGCTCATATAGCCCCTGGCCAGGCAGTATATGGGTTTAGGGTTTAAGGTGTGTAGGGATAAGCCTCCCAGTTTGCATGTTGTTTTCCATGTTGCTTTCCCTTGAATTCTTCATGATTTGGGGGGTATATCCCAAACCCTAATCCCTAAACTCTAAACCCGTCCCCAAAAACTAAACCCTAAACCCCAATCACTAAAGCCCTAAACCCTACACCC